AGTAAATAATGAGAGAAGTGATGCTTAATAGATTTAAGGACGGTCTCTCTGGAGGATAATGTTTATATGGAGTTAAGAGAAAAATGTAAGTGGGAAAAATGAAAGGTGGGAGTGAAAGAGGGTGATAGCGAGAGAGCTGAAGGCCGAGAGAGGAAGACTGGCAGAGAGAGAGAGAGAAAGAGAGAGAGAGAGAGAGACATGCCTCCGCACTGATGATTCATTTGTTTTGTGTTTGTGCATGCCTGTGTGGGAGTGTTGGGGGTTATAGGTGCCAAGCTGCTCGGTTTTTGCTTATATCCACCTACAGCAGAAATGCCAATAATAACTCCATTTTGACACATTCTCTTGAGGTAACAGTGCTCTCTGAATGTTCCCCAGGACTGCTCTGTGTACGAAACAGAAAACAAAATCCTGCATGTGGTGAGTTGCCACCTGACTTTTTATTACACTGGATCGATTGCAAATGAAACTATAATGTGCATACTTCAAGTCTGTATTCATCTCTAATATGTGCTCCCCAGTGTAAAACTCTGTCTGGAGTGTGCGACCACATTATTTCTCTGTCCTCGGATCCCATGGTGTCCCAGGCCGCACATTTGGAGGTTGTGCAGCTAGCCAACATAAAATCCACTGAAGGACTGGTAAGACTATCCCTAAGTAAGACTTAATGAAACACACTTATTTTTATAGGAGTTTCTCATTGGTCATCCTATCCAGTATGTCTTAAGAGCATGCTCGTGTGAATTACAGGCTGCTAAATTAGATAGTAATTGCAATAAAAACCAAAACAATCACCCAGTGATAGCTAATATAGCTAATAGCTAATATAAGAGCAGGTAGTTACTGAGTAATATATATTTTCATCAGTAATTGTATTGTAAATCCTAGTTCTGACTTATGTTATCTGACGTCATGTTAATACCTGTTGTCACTGCTGCCCAAAAGGTGACACCACTACTTCCATCATATACCTTAGCTTTCAGTATACCTACGTACAAATTTCACTATAACTAACCAATAATCACAATAATACCCGGCCTATAATGTGTATTGTGCGTTGTTATCTGAAATATAGGGGTAGTTTCCACACAAAAAAAGAGTAAAACCAAGGCAGTTTCACTGCAATTACTTTGTTAATGGCTTGTAAAATGTAATGCCTTGTTTCATTAAAATATAGTGGTAATTTCCATATAACAAATTAAGACAAAATAGTACATCATTTAATTGTAAATTCCCTCTTATGGCCTTTAAATTAAAAGGTTATCCAAGTTTAGCTATGTAGCTAACGAACCGATAATAATGATGAAGACTGACATTTTGAGATGCAATAGTTCTATAGTCAGTCATCCAGTCACATGCTGGGTAGCTACTGTGGACCAAACTCCCAAATTATCTGTGCTGGCTTTTCTTTACTTATCAGCATCACACTGCTAATACTCTCTTTCATGGTAAACACAACAGTCTGGAAGACGCACACAAGCCCAGTACACCACTAGACATGTGGCACCTGCACATAATGAATATGGTTTAATATACTTAAGTTATCAAGATGATAAATTGTTTTCCAGGTTTGATGAAGTGAACAGGAAAAAGCTTCCAAAAAAGTAAAGTACAAAGCTACTAATTACGCTGAATGATGGAGAAACCTACTAATTACAGACATCGCAACAGCATGACTTTGACAGCATATTGACTTCTGTTTGATTCCAATATGGCATGTGCAAATTATCTTGCAGCATGTATCTCACTGCAAATAGTTAATTCAGTTTCTCAATCACTAATACTAACTTTGCCTGATTTGTTTCTTCCAGTTATATCGTAGCTTTCTTCTGTGATTCAAACACAACTTACGTTATGTTGGTGTGTTGACAAAAATTATAAAACACTTATATTTGCTCATTTGCCTCTAGAGGTATTGAGCCTTGCAAATATGGTTTGTAAATGGTTATATTTTTGAGATATCTAAGCCTTAACCCCAATACAATAGAGGTAAGGGAGTTTAATATGTGGAGCTCACAGCATTGAAAAATTCCATTAAAGATTCAGAAACATCTCTTTTCCAGAAACAGTATCCCCTGTTATTGGGGTCCATACAAAGACCTTAACATTCACGGATTTCATCCTGTTATCCAGCGTATCCAGGATGTTATTCCTGGCAAGACAAGTGGCCATTTAAATTGGAACTTTAAGCATGAGTCGTGGTATAATTTCACATTTTAAAATAATAAGAATAAAACATAACCACTCTCTGCTGTTGTACTGTCCAGTATCTAATGGAGCTCACTGCAGCTGTCCCAAAACTGGGTTTTGCTGAGCTTATGGGCATATGAGTCAGCTGATGAAGAGCAACATGGAAAGAACATGTTGCCTGTGTAGGAATGAGCAAAATACAAAATAATTAAATTTGCAAATTGCAATGTAACAAAATGGCACTTACTTTAGGGACACACAGTAGCAAACTAGTGTTTATCAGCAGAGAAGACACTTATTTTTGCCGGCACTGTATAACCATCAGCACTTTGTTGGACTTCATCTTTGCACTGACCTACACTCAGGCACAAGTGCACTGCTTGGGGCCACAGTAAAAGCCCCTCCCCCACACAAATGCTAGCAGGGGGCATGGAAGTTCTCTCATCCGTTCAGTGAAACCTGAGCACAACAGTAGGCCAAGTGGCCTAAAAATAAACCTCTTACACTCATCTTGAAGACTGGCATGCTGCTTCTGTGTATCTGTGTGTGCTCGTGTGTGAATGTGTATCTGGGTGTGTGTTTATATGTGTGTGTCTTTGTAATGCTTTTAGTGGAAACTTTAAGTCTTAGCTTTTCTGCAACAGACAAACAGTATTTGCAGATCCTCCATGTTTGATTCAATCTGCTTGAAGGAGCATTTGAGTGAGTATTACTAGGTGACATTAATTAAGGCTGTGCCCTGTATGTTTGAAAAGTACACCCATGTGATATTTACGGACCTTCCGGTAGTAATTTTAACGTACGTGTGCTCAGCCAAATCTGAGCTCAATATAAAAAATACTCTTGTCTTTAACAGCTGCTGAAAAATAATTGAGATAAATCCAGATTTCTGCCCATTTTTGCACTACAAGCAGATTAAAACAAATGCAAATTTGCAAATATGCGATGACCCTGCTCTGCAAATGGCTGTGTGGCTGAGCCGAGATGCATTGTGCTAAATGAGCCTCATGTTACCGCTGGCTTTCAAATGCAATAATTTATATTCCTGCTGTCTTCCCACAGGGCATGTATATCAAATCAACATATGACGGTTTGCATGTAATCACAGGGACAACAGAAGGAGTAAGTACAAGCCTCTTTGTGTTCACCTATGTAGATCTTCACCTCGCTGCTCATTCACTTGTCGTGTAATATATAGAGTGAGGTGGTTGTATCACAGTACGCTGTGTCATGACAGTGAAATGGAGCAGCAGGTAATGACTCTGCCTCTCTGTCTCTACATCAGTCCCTCGCTGACCGCTGTAAGAAAATCCATGCTGGAGATGAAGTCATTCAGGTCAATCATCAGACAGTGGTAAGGCCACTGTTTTTGCCCTCAGGCTTATTTGATGTGTTTTTTTATATATGCTGTCTGAATTTGCATCTGATTGTTTCTGTTCATTTTCCTTATGCATTTTTCAGATTATTTATGCAAATGTCTATTTACACACAGGCTTGTTTTGTACACAAAGAAGTACCTGCCTCAGATTGTGTATTCAGTTCCTTTATACACATTCATATCTGTGTTGCAGTTCATCCACAGTGGGCCACTGCAGCACTACTGGACCTGTTATTATATAAGTGGCTGGGTGTAGTGCCTCTTGTAGGCGGTTTTTGAGGATGTGGATGTGTGACTCTGTCTGGATGGATATGTTACTTTACTCGTCACAGGGTCAGTTGGATGGTCAGTTGAAATCGTTGAACTTGTGCTCACAGAGCACTTCAGTCGATCAGGAGGTACCTGCTTAGGGCCCTTAACAAACTGTGGATAAAAACCACCATTTTCATTTTCATAATCCATTTTCACTCTTAGACACCCATGATAAAAAGTGTTTTTACTACTTACTACTTACTAAATAGGCATGTCCTCATGACAGTGTGGCCTGTGATTGACTGACTTTTCCCTCATATCCCAATTAGTTGTGTTGAACCTGTTAGAGCAAGACAACTTACAAACCTTTTCTCCATCTTTTGGGGTGTTTTTTTGTTCTGTTATTAAAGTTACACAATAGAGCGACTCAAAATGGGGATGTCGCCATTCATGGTTGATGTCTTAAGCCCCTCGGCCACCAGGGCACCTTGAGTTTATCCTTCTAATTTTGATAAAGGGGTTTGGTGACCCCACATTATTCTCAGTTGTGTTCAACTTCAACTTGTCTTCTGAGCAGAGCACTAATCAGACAAAATAATTGGCCTTTCACTGTTTTTTGGTAAGAGACAAAACCGCCTGTTGCTCAAGTCTATATAGGATAGTACAAATTAGGTAGAAATGAATGCAAAAACTTCCAGTGGTGCATAATTTAAATATAGCACCCTTTGTCTAAAATAATTGCTACTGTGTGTGCAACAGCAAGACGTATGATAATTACACAGCTCAAGTCAGGTTCATTTCAGTCAGTCAACTCACCCACTGAATGCAGCCATTTTTATAGAGAATAAGTGCAAATACAGAGTTGATTTTGGTGTCAAGACTCTTTCATGTCACTGTGGAGCGTAGTTTAAAGGCTGCCAAAAGTGAGAGCAGGAGGGGGTGTTCCTCATGGGGTACCAAAAGAAATACACTCTATCCCTATAGACCTTTTTAATGGCAGATATTTTAAGGAGAAGCACAGCGGTAATTAATGATGGCTCAGAAGGACATGCATGCACAATACCAGGGTCCTGGAACTGAAACAACTAAATGGAACACAGCCGTGATTTACGTTATTTATTACCCCTGTGTATTTCATGAAGCATCTTGCTTTCTTTTACAGTTTGATTGACAGCAACTTTTCAAAGTGGCAGTTTTAATGACATCTGACGGCACATGTCTCGTATCACCTAATGGTAGTACAAAAATAAATAAATAATGTTAGTGCAGAACAGTTAATTACATATACTGGCTGAAAAACAGTGTAAAATGAAGATTGTGTTGTATTTACTGTATATTATCAGTATGTGGTATGGAACTGGTGCACAGTTAGAAAGGTGGATGCTGGGGAGGTGGTGGTGAAGGAAAGATGTCCTGCTGCTGAAATGAGCAGCAGCTGAGTGTGTCTGACAGCTTAAGTGGGTGATGATGGCAATATGTAAACTCAGCTGACTCAGTTGTCTGCTGATCCAAAACTGCACTGTCACTCATAATGACTGCCATAACCAGCTTAGATACTCTTAGTACATTGAATTTAGTGTGGCCCGTAGTTAAGAACAGATTCGTAATGGTTGGGTGGGTGGTTGGGTGGTGGGGGACAGTAGGTGATACTGCATTGAAGTAGATGTGTCTACGGTGGCCAATGATTGATTGCAGCATCAGAACAGTACTGAAAAGGAGGAAACAGTAGAGCAAGGGAAAAAATATTCAGGCTTGAGAAACAGTAGAACAAACGTCAACGTTTTAAAAAAAGAACCATTAGGGAAAGAGGAGATGCTTGAAACAGTTCAGGGATCTATAATTAAGGCAGCAGGGAGAAGTCCAGCAGTAAGACAGACCAAAGTTCACTGGATTTGTGCATGCTTTTTCATGGGAAACAGATGTAAGAATGCCTGCTGACGCAAAGCGGACACATCATCTAATTGAATGAAGGAAAAATCCTCAGAGCTGCCTTTTGATTAACTTAGAAAATGTTATAACACATGTAGAATAAGCTAAAGAAAAAATGGCAAATTATTTATTGCTATTGAGCACAAGAATGAAAGGCTATAAAAAATTAAGATGGCATGTCAAAAATAAATAACTCCAGGCCGCAATGATGGAATTTCTGGTGCAGGAATGGTCAATAAATAGGGATGGCTTCAAACACATAAAAACGCTCCATGCAGGACAATAAATTTGAACACTGGAGAGTCCCCTAAAAGGAAAAAGGAAACCAAACGAAAAGAAAAACCAGTGGCGTGATGTTTTAACACCTTAAAGCTGAACATTTCTTTACCAAGGCAGGGTAGAGTAAAAGCTAGAAATCAAATCATTTCACTGCTTTAAATAAACACAATTTGTTTTGGCCAGACACAGGAAAACAATCTTTTCATCATGGAATAAAGCATGCTTTGGATTATAAAAGTGTCTGTCTCAGCCTGTCTGTCTCTTTAATGTACTTTCTGCGTGAAGAATTTCTGTGTAGTGGCTGTCAAGGTGAAAAATTACTTGGAAAGGAACAAAGTGATTGCTAGGTCAGTGCCTGAAAAATGCCTGCTTTCTCAGGCTGCTTGGAATACGCAACATGTACTGGAATTCAGTGCAGCCAGCCAAGCAAGAGAGGATATTTTTTCCCCAAACTGGACCTGGCATATTTGGTTCAGCTGCAGTAAGTGTTTCTCTGGGCGGGATGTTTTTTGTGCCAAATGTCATCAAAACTGGGTTAAAGACTATTTACAAGGCATGCAGCTGTTCGCAACGCACAACATCGAGGCTTACCACAACATGACAGCCCCTGCAGATTGATTACACTGGAGGTGTACAAGATGCCCTTTGGCGTCCAACTTTGCATTTAACATTCTCATCAACATGAAGCTTGGAGGCTGCAGGCAGCTTCCAACCATCAGGATCCATGTGCATAATTAAAATCACGACGATACTTTGAATAAAATGCCTGCTTGGCAGACTTCAGCATAAAGTGGATTAGGCATAAAGAAAAACCATCCAAATCATGTATGAAAGGAAACACAAACTGGATGTACATTGAATCCCAGCCACTAACTGGATGTCCACATTGGAATGTGAGCTTATTATTTCTGTAGCCTGAGTCACGGGGATGCCTGTGTGTGTGTTGAGGAAGCCTTTATCACGATATTGTTGTTTGCTAGGTGGGCTGGCAGCTGAAGAACTTGGTGAATTTGTTGCGTGGGGACCCCGCAGGTGTCACCCTGACTTTGAAGAAACGCCCTCAGAGCACGCTCACCTCAACCCCTGCTCTGCTCAAAAACATGAGATGGAAACCATTGGCTCTGCAAGTATGATGGTCACACTTATCCTCCACAGATATGTATGTGCATGTCTGTTTGTGTTCAAACCTGTATTTGTATGTGTATATATCTGTGCTTCTTTTCTTACTTGTGTTAAAAATAAGACTGCACAGACTACGAATACTAGACCCCAAAATACCAGATCAGCCCGAAAAAGGCGAAGACAGAAGAGTGCAAAATGAAGATTACATTGAATTAAAGTAGTACTTTTACAATAGGATGCAATCTAAATCAAGAGCCCTGAAACAAACATTAGCTCTCTGTATTTTCAGAGAGATATTGTTGCTATGGGGTTTGCACTGTATTGTACAGATATTGGTTTTATTGCATCCACTTCTTTTCTATAACTTGCTAATAATTGGTTGGAGTTCCCAGCATCATTCATTCACAAGTTGACACTTCAGCCCTTTGTGGCATCTGTTGTCCTACTTTGGCCAAACCGGTTACATTATTAGGATCGTGTGCCTGAGCCAGAATGGGTGGAAATGAGAGGGATGCGTATTAATGTAGCCCAGCCTTTCTTTGAGTTCCAGGCCAGAGAAAATGTTTTCTCCTCCCAGAGGGCCTGAAGCGAAGTCCTGCTCAGCTTCCACACCCCCACCCCCACCCCAC